CCCCGAGCGCAGCGCCAGAGCCCGCTCTGTGCCCTGCCCGAACGCCTTCCCACCGTCTTTATCTACAGCTGACCTTTTAATTAATTAAATAATTATGTTTAATTGCCCGTCCGAGAATTTTTGACAAAGACGTGAAAGGCAAACCGTTTGCTTTCTTGCTCATCTTCCTAATCGGCTCATTAATTGTGTATCCCTTTACTTCAGGTTTGTGTCCAGCACAATCTGGTTGTCAGTGATGAGATATTTATAATCAGATGTTTAACTTAATTGGGATGCTTTTCCCGTGAGCTCTTTCTCTTTGCGAGGTGAAAAGATGTATTTTACTTCACTGAACCGCTGCTTGTTTCAGGTTTTTATTAACAGTGACCGCTGCAAATCACCCTTTTGGAATCCAGGAGGGAAAGCCTCAGCGCGGAATGACAATTACACTGATACATTTCTTTACGTTGATACATTTTTTAAAACCATGCTGTAGTTCGGTTGCAGCGACCTGTCCGGAGGGCGCGGTGGTTCCCTCTGATGTTTGTAGGAGAGCCGCGGGAGCTTCAGTGACTTTGTGGCATGTCCTGAAACCTTTACCGCTGGAAACAGCTCCTGTGCTGCGTGATTGTAAGTGCATGATCGGCAAGGCAGGTCAAACTCTAGTAAATATCTGCTTGAACATTCGTGGTACCCTCGGAGTAGCAGTGAAACTTGCTAGGGCAAGTTAATGTGTGTTAAAGGAATCGCTCCCGTGTTTGTTAGGCTGCCTGTGTTCTGGGATCCCTGTGATGGGGGGACTGTTGATGTGAAAGTGTGAGCAATGAATGTCTAGATTAACTTGGTGTGCTGCTGTTACTGGAAAAGAGCTGGTGTTCAGGGTCTTTTATATTTTTTGATACCTTATTATTGCATACAATCCTTGCTGTTCACTCTTTTGATCTGTTGACAAGTGTTTTTCCACGGTGTGTTCCTCTATTTGTTAATTTGGCGCCTTGTCTCTCCGTGACTCCCCATGTTGTCTCACATCTTTTGTTTTGCTGACTCTTACAACTTTAAATTCCGTCTGAAAAATTTTGCATTCTGCAGATGTTAATGGCTGGATATTGTTTCTTATTCTTGTTCTCCCCAGCACTTCCTTTTTGCTGGCACGGTCTGTTGCTGGTTGGTGGTGTTGTTGTGTCTCATCGCTGGGCTCTCTTATCCGGAGGAAGCTGTGTGTGCCGTGCTTATGCTTTTCATTGTGTTCCTCCTTTCTGAGAACACCTGCTTATGGCATGGATGTCCCTGCTGTGACTGGTGCCTGGAC